CAGGAAGGGCAGGAAACTGAATGCCCAGGTCTAAGAAGGGAGCAAGCAGAGTGAGTGCACTTCATAGAGAGCAGAGAGCTCCTTACTCCCTGAGGGCTTGGGGCCAGAGGCAGTCAGAGCTGGTACCTCCCTATGCTGTTGCCAAAGGCAGGTTGGCAAAACAGGCCCACCCCATGTCAAAGAGAGGAGGAAGGAGGGGGGTGGAAACCAAGGTGGAGAAGAAAACTTATTTTAATTTTAATCACATATGTATATGTGTATCTGGGCTGGTGTTTGTACATGCATGCATGTGCAGATGCCTGTGGATTCTGGAAGAGGGTGTCAAATCCCCTGGCGCTGGAGTTACAGATTGTGACCTGCCCAGTGTCAGTGCTCAGGATCAAACTTGGGTTCTCTATAAGAACAGCAAGCACTCATCCACTGAACTATCTGTTCAGCCCCTAACACATGGACATTTTGTTTGTTTGCTTTTGAGACAGGGTGTCCCTGTAGCTCCAGCTGGCCTGGAACTCACTATGTAGACCAGACTGACCTTGATCTCACAGAGATCTCCTGCCTCTGCCTCCCTCCTGAGTGCTGGGATTAAAGGCACAGGCCACTACACCCAGCTACACACTGTCTTTTGAGTGACACTTATCCAAACCACGTTGTGATCGTATCTATGGTCTATCATTCACCCACCTACTCATCTCCTTACCTGTCTATCCATGCAATCACTTGTCTATGATAGCAAGAGCGTAGAGGAGGGGCTGGAGAGATGGCTCAGCGGTTAAGATCACTGGCTGCTCTTGCAAAGGACCTGAGTTCAGTTCCCTCCCAGCACCCACATGGCTGCTAACAAGCATAATTCCAGTTCTAGGGGAATCTGATGCCCTCTTCCCGCCTCTGTAGGCATTGCATGTACAAATGCACTTACATGCAGGCCAAACACATACACACAAAAGTAAAATAAAATAAATAAGCTGGAGGAACATTTGTCTCACACTCAGCCTTCCATGGCTGCTCTTAGCCCTATGTGCTACCCTTCCCCGACCACTTCTGTAACTCTACCAGCCCCTCTGCCCTTAGGGTTCATGCCAGGCCAACCTGCATGAATAGTCTCCCCTTCTAGCACCTCCTGCTAGTCTCTCTGTGTCTCCCTAGAGGGTCCCCTCAAGCCTTTTCACACCTGTCACCTCTCCCCTGATCCACAGCACATTTCCTTGTGATTCAGAGCTGGTTTCTTGGAGTGGAGCAGTTCTCACATAAGGGAACAGGGGAGAGTCAGGAGACTGGACCTTAGGAGCCTGGGGCCTGGAGGAAAGTATGGTCACACTCACCTGGAAGCTGACTCACAGGTTCTTGGGCTGTTTTCTATTTGTCTCTTGGTCACTGTGGCAGGTGGCTGACCCATTTAGGTAACCAAGTGGGTTCAGATCAAGGATTCACAAGTAAGAGAAGCACAAGGGTTGAACAGATGCTCAGTGGGAAAAGAGCTTGCCGTGCAAACATGAGGGCCTGATTCCCAGCACCCCCCACAAAAAGCCTGGCATAGCAGAGCATGCCTGTAATACCAGTGCTCAGGAGGAAGAGATGGGAGGATCCATGGAGCTTCCTGACCAACCAGTCTAGAAGGATCAATGTGCTCCAGGTTCAGTGAGAGACCTTATCTCTAAAATTAAGGTAGAGGGCAACTGAGGAAGACACTTGATGTCAACCTCTAGCCTCCGCATGCGCGCGTGTGCGCGCGCGCACACACACACACAGACACGTACACACACAGACGCGTACATACACACACTGTAAGAAAAGGACAGAACTGGGTGTATGCACCTCTCCCAGCTTCTGGCCCTCAGGAGACCCAGTAAGCAGGAACTTTGTTAGGGTGCCAGTCCTGGCCTTTCACCAGGCTGACAGCCCATGGGGGCAGAATGTCTGAGTGTGGAGAAATCACCTGAGAACAGAACCATGAGGGGGCCAGGAAACACATACCAGGGGATGGGATTGTGGGGAACAGAGACATACCCACCAGGTGATGGGCTGTGGGAGTCCCACCTCACCCTAGACATCAAGGTGCCTGGTCGAAGGTCAGTTCTGAGTACTAGGCCCCAGACCTGGAAGGGGAGAACTACACACTGATTTTGAGTAGGCCCCGGCAGGGATTCTGGCTTGGATGACAGCCCTGCCTCGGTACAGCCACATTGGAGCTCCTCCAGCCCCATGTTGGGGAGTTTCCTCTTCTGGTAAAGAAGGAACTAAGCGATATATTGGCCAACATCCGGGTGCTGACTGAGCTCAGGCACACAGGTGGCTGCTGGCCAGCCCACACTAGAGCCCCAGTACCAGGCCATGTGCCTCTGAGCCAGATCTGGTCAGACCCCAGCCATATACCCGAGACTCTGGCTTCCACAGTCGGTGGCTCTTCCACAATCTCTTCATCCATCTCCGTACTTTATGTTCCCTAGTTTTGTTAAGTGTCCTTTGCTGTTCAGGCTAGCCTGTAAGTCCTGGGTTCAATCAATCTTCCTCCCTTTTCCTCTCAAGTGGCTGGAATTGCAGGCATGTACCCCTACACCGTTTTTCCCCTGGAACATTAAAAAAAACAACAAAAAACAAAAAACAAACCAGGGTTTCCTGGCCCAGGCTAGCCTCAAACTTGCTAGGGAGTTGAGGGTGAACTTGGACTTCTGATCCGCTTGCCTCTACTTCCTGAGTGGAATTACAGGCATGCACCATCACACCATTTCCTTCTAGAGGATTTGAAAGAGATCTGACCATTTCTTCCGTAAGTCATCCTTCACTTTAGGAACCTAATTGGGCAGTTAAACCTGAGACTGCAGGGGCTTCTGTGACGACTTAAGGCCCTGGGGGCTAAAGAGGTTCACTGCTCTGATGGGAGTTGGGGCGTTTTGGGGGAAGCCCTCATTCCTCACTCTGTGACTTGGAAAAGCTGCTTAGAGGAGGGCCAAGGCTGGCTGGAGGGGATCAGGTGTGGGCATTATGCATCAGGATACAGAGGCAATGTGAGGGAAGGTGGGAGAAATGAGGGCTGGGGCTGGAAGGTGCAGTGGGGAGAACAAGGCACGAGGAGTGGAGCACCTGGGAGGTGGCTTTGCTCCATGAGGGGCCCCTTCAGGCAGTGAGGCTCTTGGGGCCCCTCATTCCAAGGAGGAGGTCCCTGCTGAACACTGACAGTGCTGGATACCACTGTGGGGAAACTAGCAAACAGGACTGAGATGTGCCTGGGTCCCAGGATAAGGCCTGCCAGGATGAAACAGCAAGTGCTGGAACTTCCCAAGGGATGGAGTGCACACCACCACGTGACCCCCGCCCCCAGGCCACAAATGGCAACTAGAGACAAGAACATGGCTGTTTCCTAGGCTCATAAATGACTTCCCCAACCCCTTGGGATAGGACAGCCAGAGGCACAGTCCCAAAGCCACCAGTTAACAAATGCTTTGGGGGCCACAGAGATGATTCGGTGGCTAAAGTGTGCTTTCTGCTCTTCCAGTGGACCTGAGTTCAGTTTCCAGCACCCACATCAGGTAACTCACAACCATCTGTAACTCCAGTTCCAGGGGAATCTGATGACCCTGGCCTCCATGGGCACCTGCACCCTCCCACATATACACATAATTAAAGATAAATCCTAGCCGGGTGTGGTGGCACATGCCTTTAATCCCAGCACTTGGGAGGCATAGGCAGGAGGATCTTTGTGAGTTCGAGGCCAGCCTGGTCTACATAGTGAGTTCCAGGACAGCTGGGGCTATAGAGAGACCCTGTCTCAAAAAGACCGAAAAAAAAGAAAAAAGATAAATCTTAAAAGAACTTTTGAAAATGCTTTGGACCGCTATGGTGCAAGTCACTGTCCAACCCTGGGACCTCAGGCACGTTGGTGATTCACCCTTGAATCCCTTTGCTTCAGCAGGCCTGAGGGTCCTCACCAGGCCTGGTGTGGCATAATATACTTGCCCTGAACTCAGAGAGGTGGTATGGGGCATAGGGTTCCTGCATAGAGTTTTATCTTATTTTTCTACAACTGGAGAGCAGGGCCTAGACATGAGACTGAGGTCTGCTGTGTGCACTGTTGCTGGGTACACTGGGCTGACATGTAGCTCGGGAAGGACCCACAAAAGACCCCGTTTCTAGCATTTGGCATGCAAACACTTGGTAGTCCAAGTTCACAGGAGTTGCAGAGTCCTTCAGACCTTGTACGCAGGGGCCTAGCACACTCCAGGGTATCTCTAACCCAGTGGCAGCTGGGGCCTGGGTACTTGCATTCCTCCCAAATCCTGGGGAGGTCAGCAGAGCAAGCTCCAAAACAGCAGAGAGAACATGCCTGGTAAGATGTTCACGAGTATGTGAAGTCATTCTCTCAACTATTCTTGCAACTTGCATGTGTGGTATATATGTAATGTGTTGGTATGTGGGTATGCACGTGTAGAGACCAGCGGTCAAAGTCAGGTGTTATTCTCAATCAGTCACCAACTTATTTTTTGAGAGGATCATACTGGACGTCAGGGAGCCCTAGGAATCCTCCCGCCCTCACCCCCAGCACTGAGATTACCAGTGCATGCCACTGCATTAGAATTTTTACATGGTGCTGGGGACCCAAACTCAGGTCCTTATGCATGTGCAAGTAAGCTTTTACCAACTGAACCATCTCCCTAACCCCTCTTGCAACTTTTCTTTTTAAAATTACGTTTGTCTGTGTATGGGTGTATGCACATACAGGTATCTGTGGAGGCCAAAAGAGGGTGTCAGATCCCCCAGAGTTGGAAGTTACAGATGGTTATGAGCGGTCTGACATGGGTGCTGGCAACTGAATTCTGGTAATTTGAAAGAGCAGTAAGCACTCTTAACTGCTGAGCCATCTCTTCAGCCCCTCTTGAAACTTTCTGTATGTTTAATATAAAGGCCTTTGAGCCTCAGATCTCAGCTTCTACCTTGAAACCTACACCTAGACATGAGGGGAGAGCTGAGAGCCTGGGCAGAGGGTGGTTCACAGGAGTAGAGGGTGGTACATGGAACCCAGGAGGGAAGTGCATGAGTTTTATTGTCATTCCTGATTAGAAAAGTGGGGCTTGAACCCCTGAGCAGGGGACTGGGGTTCTGCCTGGTCACAGCTGGTAGAACATTCCAGCAGGACCTGCAGTCCCCATGGGCATGGCTGCCTCTTGATGGCTGCCAATCCCAGGCACTGAGGCTAAAGTCAGTGGCCACCACTGGGACCGACAGGTGCTGCTTGCTGCCCAGTGTCCCTGTGTTAGGAAATGGCAGAGACAGCAGTCACCTGGATGGCCCGTGTAGGCCCCATGGGAAGTAGGGATGCTGGTGCATCAGCAAAGGGAGAGGCATGTCCTGGGCCTTCTGGAAAGTTCTGAGGCAGAGGCTGGTACTGGCCCCTCATTGAGCCCAACCGTGGACCTGCTTCATGTCCTTGGATAGGCAGTAACCCTTCTCTGGGCCATGGGTCTGAGGCTGTCCAGTTCTGGTCTTCAAGGCTTGTGTCCAGCCTTCACATGCCAGCAGTGGCCTCCCACATAGCAGTCACAGTTGTATAGAAGTTTATCCAAGACAATGGTCCAGTAGAGGCCAGCCTGGGCTCTGGTGGTTTGGGAGAGTGCTATGCATAGGAAGGGGGACACCTTGAGGGCACAGCAATTCCTGGGGTCGGACGGCTGGGCTGTACATAGTGTTCAGGACTCTGGAAAGGAAGAGAGGCATGAGAGGTGCTTGCCAGCTAACGGTGCCCCAGGCTGGTTAAGTTCATGGTGATAAATTCATGGACATCAGGGCCACACAGAAACTGGCTGGCACTGACAAGGTACCACAGCTCTTTCCCTACTGAATATAATATTCTTGGGTCTCTGTCAATACTTTAAAGGCCAGGACCATGGCTACCAGGGTATCAGCAGTGTCCATGGCCACCCACCTAGCAAAAGCCACTGCTCCAGTTGCTGCAGCAGCAGACCATGCAGCCACCCGGAACATAAATCCTGTAGACAGTCCTAGAGATACCCATGTAGGGTAAAGGCCATGAGCACAGGGTCCATGTGCCCATAGCTGTGGCACACTCTTCTAGACCAGATCACCAACATATTCAGGGAGTATCAAGAAATGCATTCAGGTAGTTCATAAGAGGCCTTGTCATGCCATCTGATAGGAGACAGCAGACTCAGGACCCACCATACCTCATAAGCCTCCCACAATGGTAGTTACAGCAGGTCCTAGGCTCCTTTCCAGCTCACCTGGGTGTCCTACTGCCGGGGTGCCACATCTGCCACAGGCTTCTGGATCCCAAAGGCCGTGATAAAGATGTTGACCACCACGATGATGAACACTAGGCCTGTGGCCAGGTTGTTAAGGAAGTCCAGCTTGGCGTGCTTGGCTGGGTTGTTAAGGTCATATTTGACTGTGGGCAAGAGGGAATAGATGGTACCCAGGGAAGCGTGGCCCAGATGGAGAAAGGCTTTCTGTCTGGACAGTGTGCTCAGTGGGATAGTATAAGGCTCTCAGCTATATTTAATGTAAGTTTTATCTCCTCATTGAAAAATTGCCTATTTGGCTAAAATTCTGGCATGGGTGTCCCACTCTCTATAGTCCCCACTTTCTCCATGAAAAAACGAGGCCCAGGCAGGTCAGGTGCTCAGGGTGTCAAGCCAGGCCAGGATTGCTTAGCTTACCACCCTCCCACCTGTTAGGCTCTGCCTCAATACTCATTTCACAGGTGAAGATCCTGAGATCCCAGGAGGTCCCCTGACTTGCCTAAGTTCACACTGCCAGGAAGCACAGCTAGAGCCCTCACTATTCCTGATAAGGCCCTCTGGACAGCCACGAGGGTGCCCTAGCACTCCAAGTACTCTGGCACTCCTAGGCCATCTTCCTATCTGCTGCTGTTTGTCTACCAGAGGAAATTGGTCATATGTTGAGGGAACACTGCTCAATGAATTAGTTTGAGAAGACAGGAAAACTAGAGGTTACATCTGCATTTGGATTTTCATTCAGAAACAGAAGGTATGGTTAGACATCCTGTCCATAAGATGGCAGTCCAGGATCAGGGTCACCTTCTGAGCCCAGAATCATATCCTTAACTCCAGAACCACTGACTCTCTTCATCCCCTCATCCATCGAGAGTCCCATCCTTACCTCCTGTCCCAGGGTCCCCTTCTGTATTTCTTTGACCCAGGGTCCCCTCATCATCTCTTGACCTTCTTGTTTCCCAGGTGAAGGTCTCCTCTTTGTCTACTGTGTAACTTGGCTGCTCTTTGTTACTGGACACAGGCAGTAGTTAGGCCTGAGCTGAACTAAGTAGAGAGGCCTGGCTGGTAGGGGCTATATTGTGGTAGGAAGCCATATGGGCCTGAAGAAATACCCAATCCCTTCTGTCCCTACCTTCCAGGCCCTGAAAACCCTGACCCCATTCTGCCTTCAAAAGGCAGGGTCAGAGGGGAGGAGCCACAGCCTAGACCACAAGCCTAACTACGGAAGGGCGAGGGACAGGCAGGGGTTCACTGGCTGCCTGAGAGGTAAGTGTGTGAGGTGTAGGCTCGCCCTCATTCCTGGGGCTGTATCAACAACCATGGGTCCTACCGAGAAAGATGAGCAGCACGCCCACTCCAATCTGCAGTGCCAAGGAAATGGAGATGAGGACCACAAGGGGCACGAAGAAGGCAACAGGGGGTTCCTGCTCCACCACAGCCTTCAACTGCGATGCGTTGGCCATGAGCAGTGCGATGTCCAGCATGCTCTCTGCTGCGCTCTTCTTGTTGGCATAATGGTTCACATTGATGGGCCGGTTCCTCCAGCCCCAGCGGGGTGGCTGTGGGAAGCAGGATGGTCAGTAGGGCAGGGGACAGCATGAAGGTCTAGGAAGAGCTATAGGGAGAGGGCAAGAAGGGGCTCTGGGGCTCCCTGGGGCTGCAGGGAGTTCTCTTCAGATCAGCTTCTGTTGTCCCAACCCTGGAAAGTACTTATTACTCTGAGGAAAGAACATGCTTAGCCTTTTTAAACCTTCCTAGGAGTAATTTCTGGAGAGAAACCAGAATAGCAACCTTAGCACACACACTAGTCTCCAGCTGGAAACGGTCATGGACCTCACTGTCCTGCATAGCAGTGCTCCTCTCTGCCCACCTTGCCTGCCAGCCTTGGGCCTCTCTTCCCCCAGGGTATCAGGAAGAAAAGTGAACAGTGGTCAATTGTGGGTAAACAGGTCCCTGCATGCTGGTCCAGGCTTGAAACTAACCCTTCTTGAGCTCAAAGGTCTGGCCAATCCTGCCCTTCCAGCATCAGGTCCCTCAGCTCCCTCCCACCACACACACACCCTCAGCCTCAGCCTCCAGGACAGTCTAGCTGGCTTGTTTATACTCACTGATATGTAGCATTGAGCGCACACAGCAGGTGCTCAATAGATGCCTCACCATCCTGCATGTAGTAAAGCCCAGCTGTCTCCTTACTCTTCATAGTAATGACAGGGATACAGTTCTGAGCTCCTCTCAGGGTGGACATCTGTTGGTGACATCCTCTCTTTTCTTAGTGCCAGTCCCAGCCCCAGCTCCAGCCCCCAGCCTTGGAGGGCAGTTCCTATGTCACCTCCTACTTCTCTCACTTGGTCAGTCATGAGGAGCCCTGCAGGTCTCTCTCACAGGGGCCTCCCTATCCAGATACTCCCATGATTTGAGGCCCTGCCTGGAGGCACCTTCAGGATACCTCCCCTGACTTCCCCTGGCAGTATATAGCCCTCATCTGCCATGGAAGTCACTTCTTTGGCTGGCCTGTTTCATTCCAAGGTACCTCTAGGTGTCTGGCTTCATCTTTCCACTGAGCCAGTCCGCCCTCTCAAGCTACTCTGGTGGGGCCCCTTAGCCACCCAGGAAAATCCCACCAACACTTGGCCTTAGCCCTTTGTCCAGTGGCGTCCCTGAGCCACTGGAACTGCACTATAGTCTACAGGGAGCAGGCATGGGGTTGGAGGCAGTAGCCAAGGCCCAGTGTTGGCAGCCAGCTACCTGGGGCCGCCCTGGAAGATCCTGTTTCCAGACTCATGAAAGATGCAGGGAAGGGAGGCAGCTTAGGGAAGGCAGCCACCACACTCATGTGGCCCAAAGCAGGTGCCACTGAACAGATAGAAAGCAGGCTTTCACTTTGATGGTGTGCATCTTTAAATTGAAATTTCTTCTAAAGTCATGTGTTCAGTAGTAAAGAACTGTGGGTGATGTGAGGCGCAGGTGGGTTCTGCTGCCTGAACCTGGGCTAGAAAATGCCAACCACCTGTCTTTGGCATCAGCTTGTTATTTAAGTAGCAAGCTCACTTGGGTCAAACTTCTTTCTTAAGAGGACATCTCCATACACACAAATACATACATACACATATGTATAAATATCTGTGTATAATTTTATGTGTATATGTGGTTCTATGTATTGTGAATGTGATATACATGCATGGATATACATAGGTATGCATATATGTTTATGTGTGTATGTCTGTGTACTTACATGTGTTTATACAGGGTACAGTGTTCTGGATGCAGGATACAGAGGCATCTACTGAGTGCCTATAGTCCCCCAGACTTGGTGCTCTGTAAGTAATTCTTTTCTTTTCGAAATTTATTTATTTTTATTTTATGTGTATGAGTGTTTGTCTGCATTTAAGTGTACCTCATGCATGCAGTGCCCACGAAGACCAGAAAAGGGAATCATATCTCCTGGAACTGGAATTGTAGACAGTTGTGAACTTCCATTTGGGTGCTGGGAACTGAACTCTGGTCCTCTGCAAGGGCAGTAGCTGCTCTTGACTACTAAGCAATCTCTCCAGCCCCAGTAATCTTTTCTATTTTATGTGTATGAGTATTTTGCCTGCATATATATAAGTGCATTATGTATGTGTAAACCAGCAGAGGCCAGAAGAGGGTATAAGATCTCTTGAAACTGGAGTTATAGACAGTTATTAGCTACCATATGGGTGCTGGGAATAGAACCCAGGTCCTCCGGAAACTGCTGAGCCATCCTTCCAGCCACACCCTCCCTGCAGCCTTTTCTTGAGGGAAAGCTACCTCTGCCTAGGCTGGCCACTGCCCCAGTCCCCAGCACCAGCCCTGGTGCTGCTCTGAAGTTACAAGTGCACCACATGCCCACCCTGGGGTGACACCCAACTGGAACTCCCCCCAGGGAACCAGTGCCCTCTCCCAGCTTGCCAAGGGTCTGAGTGAAAATGGCTTATGCTTATTGGCAGGTGTACTGAGGTCATTCCAAGCTCTTCCCTTATGAAGCTGTCCAGCTGTCCACGCCCTGTCTCATGTGTGCTTTGCTGGGTGTCGGCATGAACTCCTAGCTTTGTCAATCAAAAGTGTCTAAGGACCTTCCCTCAGGGTTGCCCTAACTCTCCAGGGCTCCACCCAAGATCCATATTTAAGAGGTAAAACACAGATGCAGACCCTATAAGGGGCTTCTGCCTTTTATGGGAAGGGCTCTATATACAAAGACACATACACAACATACATACATTCATGCACATATATAATACACATGCATAATACACACAATCACACACATATGAAATGTACACAAATGTGTGTACACATAATCATACATATAACACTGGTAGGCAACACACACATAACACAAACACAAGTGCACAATATATATGTAGAAGATGTAGCATATATCCAAAACACTTGCACATGCAATATATGCACTTGTGCATATGCATGCACACACATATATGCATGCACACAAAAATAGACACAGAAAGCAGAGCCTTCAATCAGTAGCTCAGTTGGTGCAGGGAAACAGAGTAGATGAAGTGAGTCAACAGACACAGCCTTGGGCTAAGCTTGCTGGCCTCTGGGCAGCAGGAAAAATTCCTTTTGATTCTGAATCACTGAAATACTCCATGGCCACACGGTCACAAAGAACAGATATATGAGTGACTTGCCTCATGTTCCCAAGTGCAACCTTGGCTCTCAGCTCTCTGAACCATCTGAGCCTTGCTCCTGCTGTCTTCACTCACTTAAGGGACAAACAGGCTCAGCACTGGAAGCTCCTTTCCAAAGTCACACAGCAAGTGGGAGCTGGGTTAGAATATGAACGCAGGCCCCGGAACCCTGGCGGCTGACACCTTAAGAAGAATAAGCTCTCAGAGGCTCTCTGCCTACAGTTCAGGACAGCTAGTCTTGCTCAGCTTCAGTGTCTTGTGCCTGTGGGTTTAACACCAAGGAATGACTTGGAGCCCTGGGGCCAGCAGAGGCTCCAACGCAGCAGGAGGCTTTCTGGTGAAGGGTACTTCTGCCCATCAGATCTGCTTCCTACTCACCCTGTGTGATGATGATAAGGGCCTCAGGCTGAGGGACAGGCCCAGAGGCTGAGCAGGCCTTTGCACGGTGTCTAGCCCTCACTCCCCACAGCCTGACTCTATGCCCCTGACAACACCCCTCCATGTTCTCTTTCCACCTGAATATCTTGGGCTGTCCTCTGGGACACTTGCCTGCCACTTAATTGAAAGGACATATTACTTTCCTCTAGGGATCAGCACACTGAGGCTCAGAGGGCCTTGCAGAGTACCTTCACGGAGGAGTGGATCCAAATTCAAATCCAGGATGTATGCACCACACCTAAGGCTGCTCCTGCACACACCATCAGTGTCCACCCTGAAGGGGCCTGTATACCAGGCCTGCTGATGGAGCCTGACCCTAAGCCTGGTAACTGCTGCACAGGCCTCTTCCAGGTGCACAGACAGTCAGATATGTCAAAGGGTGCCCTGTAGGCCTAACTAGCTGCCTGGAGCATGCTGGGAAACCCCTTGCAAGCCTGTGCCTGTGAACTGGCAGTTCAGGGAGCAAACATACTGGTTAATATGTCCCAGGGTCAGCAGGAATTCCCAGAAACCTCAGCAGCAGGTGGAAACCAGTGTGAAATGGGCTGTTTTCCTCTAAACGCCAGGATGGAGCATTGTGGAGTATAGCCTAAGCAGGGGGCTATACTTGTATGGGCCCAGTCATGTGGTCTAGGGCAACTTGTCTGTTCATGGCTGAGGTAGGAGGGGAGTAGGCCCCTATGGGCTGGCTTAGTTATAGCACAATGAGTGCTGTGGACCCTCTAGGGCTTGGATGGGGGAAGGGGGCTGTGGCCATTAGCTGGACCCACTGATGTGGTTAAGCATGCATAGAGCTAGGTGCCGTCTTCCATCTTCTCTGTCATTCCCAATCCCACCACACCAATGCCAGCAGGGTGACTGCTCTACACCTGTTTCCTTATCTATAAAACAGGAAGTCAGGAACATGCAGGGGAGGTAGACTGCATAGGTGGGCTCAGAGGTCCGAGGCCTACTGAGGCACACTGTAGCAAGTGGCATGTTCCTCTACTCATTCCTTGCTCTCTCCAGTGATAACTTTGCCTCAGCCGTTGAGCAACAACAGCGCCTATGTAACTGCACATGAACAAAAACAGCTACAAGGAAAAGAAGGGCCAGTCTAGGCACAGGTCTTCCATAAGGCCAATGCTATGACCTGGAGGTCCAAGTCTAGATAGATGCTGGATGACCCCAGCCTGGCCTTCTCAGAGGCGCTGCCAGACACCAACACATGGGAGGGGGTACTATGGACATACCTGGGCCCATGGGTCTCCCTCATCCAACCCAATAGCATAGGGGCAGGAGCTGTTGGCCCATCCTAGGTCAAACCCAGCAGGAAGTTGCCTGTCCCAGGCCAGCCTGGACCTGGAGCTCAGTCTTCTAGGCCCCAGCCTGTCCACTCTGGGGAAGCCCAAGAAGCAAGACCCAAAAGGGTCTCCTGCCTCTACATGTACATTCCAGACAGGAAGCCCCAGTGAGACAACAGGAAGTGTAGGAGGTGGGGACCCCACAGCAGCTGGGCCAAGGGCTGGGCAGACTCACTTCCTGTGGCTCCAAAGTGACTAGGAGTAACCCTGAGGTCCATTAGGGTGGCCTTTAGAACTTGGCCAAGACTGACTATCCCAAGACCTGCCAGGCAAGCAGAAATTGGGAAAATAGTTAAGTTTCCCCTAGCAGCTGAGGCCAGGCACAGGGGAAGGCAGTGTGCAGGGCACTGTTCCATGACTCAGGGACCCAAGATATGGTCCTAACAACCTCACTCTGGGGGCTGCAAGGGGAAGGAGGGCAGGGCTAGAATCAAAGGGCTACCGCCCAGCTCCATCTCTACCACCTCCCTCCTGCAGTGCCCATATTAAACTAGTGTTTACTATTCCTCGGCTGCCAGGCAAAAGTGAGTGGACTTACAGAAGCTGGCCCAGTTCCTGGACATTAATGAGGTCCTTGGATAAACAGCCCTAGAAGACCCAACACTTGGAGGGGTGTGGGCAGAATTTCCCCAGTGCAGAACCTGAGAGGACCAACTTGGGCGCCTCTGCGGAGCCTCAGCAACCTGGGAGGTAATAATGCCCCATTCTCTAGGGAGAAAATTGAAGTTCCCTTGGGGTTCCACCCTGGGGACAGCACTGTCTTTTTCAAACCACTGCAGGTGTCACCATGAGACGGTGTCCATGGCGATGACCAATGCCACCCCCACCACCACTGCACAGGGCTCTGTAATATAGCTCTTACTTGGCAGAAGTATTGCTACCACATCCATTTCACAGATGAAATAAATGGAGGCACAGAATTCTGACAAGACTCTTGGACAGGCTGGGGCCTAGAGGGCCCAAGAAACTTGGGATCCTGAGGATGGGAAGGAGGTCAGGAAATTGAGCAGGGTTGCCTTCAAGGTTGGCCACACATTAAGGAAGTGTCCCTATCCCCAGTGACCTGGGACAGGATTCGCTTGCCTCTTGTGCAGCCTGACCTCCTACCTCACCACCTCCTACCCAGCCCTGAATGTTCATAGAGATCCAGCCCCTGGCCTCTGCTCCTACTGTTTCCTTTGTCCCGGGTGCTCTTCTAATAACACCAGAGTCAGACCTGCAACCCCCCAACACACACACCAGGACTAGTGCCAACAACCCCACCCCACAGAGAGCCTCCCCGATCCCTGTGCTCCCTACCACCACCATGGCAGTCCTGCAGCCTTACAAGGAGCCCACATGATTGATTTTATTCTCCCACAAGGAGTAGAGGCTAAGTCTCTTTCCTTCTTGTTCCCACAACCAAGTCAGTGACCCCTGAACACCCAACCAAATCTCTGTTGGGTATGTGCCCAGACCTCCCTGGGGACACCCATTTCACCCTGCTGCCCACAGAGCTGAGCAGAGATAGTGCCCAGAGGAGGGCACAACAGGGCAAGGCCAAGGGTGGGAGACAGACAGAGGCTCCCTTCAAACCAGTCGCCTGTTCATCTGCTGCCTGGTTTGCTTCTGCCTGTCCTTGAAGGCAGACAAAGATCATTTGTTCTCCCTTCTAAAACCACATACAGCCAGGCATGTTGGCCCACACTTTTACTCCCAGCACTACAAAGGCAGAGGCAGGCAGATCTCTGCAGATGGAGACCTGCCTGGTTTACATTACAAGTTCCAGGCCACCTGGGGCTATAGAGAGACCCTGTCTCAAAAAACAAAAACAAAAAAACTCAAAAAATCAAAACCATATATCAAAGGCCCAGAGAGGTGGATGGCCCTCCCCAAGGGCACACAGCCAGGGATGTCCCTTGCCCACTGCTTCCAGAGTCTTCACACACTGTGGCAGAGCCAGGTTCTAGGATGAGTCCAGAGGCTCCCCTCAGTCCTCAGTTTCCTCCTCTCTCTTCCAGGGTCAAAACATCTGTGCCCCACCCCTTGCTCCTGGGATCCCTCTTCCCTGAACATGCCTGTTCTCAAGGTATGAACCTAGGTAGAATGCCTCTATTCCAGTCTGTTTCGAATCACAAGGACTGGTGGAAAATCCCAGCCGGGTGTAATTCCCCACCCTCATCTCATGGCGATGGGGGCGGGGGGTGTCGGAAAGAAAAGAAAGTCCAAAGTCAACAAGTCCCGGGGCTGGGCCCTGGCATGCTCAGGACCTACGGCAAAGGTAGGCTGTGAGGTGAGGGGTCAGGACAAGGCCGTACCTCCGATGTGGACATCCGTCCACTGCTATGGCCTTGGCAGGTTAGGCAGAGCAAATTCTGTGCAGATCCTTACAGTCCCCAGCGTGGATGCCCAGAAGGCTGAATGGGTGACAGTCTGTTTCTCAAAGGGAGGTAACCGCAGCAGGGACAGAGCATCGGGTTTCCCCCATCACCGCTGCATCCGACCGTGTGGTCACCGTGTGGTCACCGTGTGGTGACGTAGCTGTCTGCCAACTCTGAGCCTCCAGCCAGGAGGCGGTGACTCCTCTCCGCCCACCCCGCCGCACACAGGAGACGATGGCGCAGAGGCGCTGGAAGTTAGGAGAGCGGTGTAGGAGGTAGGAGAGTCCCGGAGAGAGAGATACCAGCTCCGCCAGTCAGGCGTGGGCACCGCACAGCAGAGCCGGGGCAGCTCGCCCGCCCGCCCGCCCGCCCGGCGCCGCAGCTCATCTGCCGGGCTGGCCTAAGTCCCCGAGGCCACCACTAGCGGCCAGGACAGGACAAGCAGGGCTTGGCCAGGGGGCTCCGGCCACCACCACCACCCCGCAGGAAGCCCTGGGCCCGATGCCCACAGGTGCCCGATAAGCCGAGCCCAGAGAGGGCGGCGTCGGCCAAGGTCAAACGGTGGCCGCAACCGGGGGTGCGAGGGTCTTACCGAGGCATCGGGGGAGCCCGGAGAGGCGGGCGAGCCGGGGCGCAGGTCGCCGTTCAGCTCGTATTCCTCCGTGCCTGACTCCATGGTGCAGCCGCCAGGGCCGCTTTGCTCGCGGCCTCAGGTCCGCGCCTTAGCCGCCGGGTCCCCTCAGTGAGCCCGCCCCCTGCCCGCCCCCGCCAGCCCCCA